TACTTTTTTTTTGGGTGGATATATAATGAATGTGATTTTTGGAACGGATGTTTGAATGTTGCTTTGGGAATGTGAGAATGAAAGAGTATTAAGAAAACGGGTGACTATGCCTGAATGAATTCTTTATGTAAGGGGGCTTTAGACCACCTAAGCATGGAGTTACCACCTATTTAAACACTACAAAGAGCTATGAACAAAGTGTCTTATTCTGCCGCTAGTAATAGAGTAACCTCTTTGAAACTAGTAAGTTATGCGTTTACAGAAAGAAACAGACTGTTTTGTATTTCATTTACACAGGAAGAGTAATATATACATTTGAGAAAAAGTGAATCGTGTTCAGCATTATGTCAGGACCTCACATTTTTCAATAATGTGGAGGAGGAATATTAGTTAGCCTTCAAGGTCTTTAACAAAAAGGCTCTTTATGCAGATCCACCATACCATATCATGTTTCACTACAAACCTGGACCCTCTTTGATCTGTGTTCCACTTCTGTCTAATAGGACATAATCCATTTCTGGCTGAAGAAGGGGGTGGATGGGTTCCGCATGGACGCTGTGAAACACATGCTTGAGGCCACACATTTGAGAAATGAACCCCAGGTCGACCCTGACCAAGATCCAGTAAGCCCAACAATGACCTATTCTGTATAACCATATGAAACTGCACACATTCAGTTTACACACTTATTTATTAAAGCCCTTCATCTGCTAGAGTCAAACATGTTCTTCCAATTCATTCAGAAGGAGTCGTATTACTGTTCTTTGTTCTCACAATGTCATTTAAGGATTACTAGTGCATATTTCTCTGGATTTACTGGCAAGTCATTCCCATTATCCTAATTCCAGACGATTTCAAAGCCATTGAAGGTCTGGGGAAGGCCGCTGAATGACTCGATGGTCCTGGCCCTCTCCTCATGAACTTGTTAGAATTAACTTAGAGGAATGTTCCGGCTTCAAAACAAGTTAAAATTGATCATCTGTGACATTTTGATTACCATAGGAAATCATTTTCATTAATCCCTCGTTTGGTGAGAACACGTTAAAATTGTGTTTAAATGGAAGTCTCTGGGGCAAGACATTTCAGGTTTAAAAGCAGAAATGTGTTTCTTGTATTTCTGTAAAATCATTAAATATTTCATACACAAATATCTGGTTTTTGAGCAGTGTAAGTTGTCCTTTTGGTGAACTATGTTACAGAGTTTTCATTAAGACCCTAAAGAATCATATCAACTTGTGGAAAATGGGCATCCTATGACCCCTTTAAGTGGCTGCTGGACTAGGTAGATGGAAGTCATGTAATGCTTTACCAGCATAATACCTGTTTGAATTTTTCCTTTATTTCTTTTCTTTTTTTTATTCAGCACAGACATACCATATTTAGTAATAATCTTAGTAAGATTAACTTGTTGCTCGCATTAGCGCTACCCATTTTGACGTGTGCAGTGTGACTAACCGCAGTATTCTTCTCTTGATTTCCTCTTTGGTGTCCTTCAGTCGACTGTGGACACAGAGTTTGAGCTGTACCATGACTACACCTACACACAACAGGGCTTACATGAGATCCTGACAAACTGGAGGATAGAGCTGGACGACTACAGCAGAGAGCCTGGCCGCTACAGGTATCCTCACTTCTTTCTCTTCTTCATCAATATACGTTTTGTTTCTCTCTTGTAAATGGCTTTTTTTCTCTCTTACCAATCAGGTTCATGGTGATAGAGTGTTATGATTATGAAGAAATAGATAAAACCATGAGGTACTATGGCACAAGCTATGTCACTGAAAGCGACTTCCCCTTTAACTTCTATCTCCTGTACCTTCCTGATGATCTGTCAGCAAATCAAGCCAAACGCTTGGTTAATTTATGGATGTCAAACATGCCAAAGGGAAAATGGCCAAACTGGGTGGTGAGTGACCAGATAATCTGTCCGTTCATGAAGAATCAGATCGCTTCAAATATTTAAAGCTGAAACACTAGCTTTGCTAAATGGACAAAAAATTTTTTTGATTTTAAAATGGCATAGAGTTTGTTGAGTTTGTCACATGCACAAAATATGTTTGTGTACGTCTATAGGTGGGAAACCATGACAAGCCACATATAGGCTCAAGTGCTGGTACAGAATATACACGTGCTATTGACATGCTGTTGTTAACACTGCCTGGAACTCCCACAACATACTATGGAGAAGAGATTGGCATGGTGAACGTAAATGTATCTGTAATTCAGGATCCTTTTGGACAGCATGATCCAGTAAGTGAAAAATACTTTTTTTTTTTTTTTTTAAGTAATAGTTACATTAAACACATTAAAATGTAGAACTTTTATACAGTTATACTATGTTTGATGTATAAAATAAATATACTATATTTTAAAATATATATTTAATAATAAAACTTTGGTTGGTAAGATTTTTAAAGGTTTTTGAAAGACGTCACTTATGATCACCAAGGCTACATTTATTTGATAAATAAAATTATTTGAACAATTAAATGTAGCCATGGTGGTCATATACAGTGGGTATAGAAAAGTATCACACCCTTTTAAAATAATCACATTTTGTTTCTTTGCAGCCTGAAATGAAGATGGACAGTTTTTGTTTTATCCAGCTGTATTTACTCAGTGCAACTTCCAAGTGAAAGATAGAACACCAACATAACTATTGTTTTAGTCACGGGTATATTGTGAGGTGTACTAGTGGATGTGACGTGTTGTGTTGGATATATATATATGTAAATTGTCCAGGGTTTAAGTGGAAATTATTTAATGATTGTGGTAATTGAACATTGGCTAATGAATGATGACGTCAATATAATTAGTGATTTGAAAAGTGGGTGGAGGGATTGAATTGCTTTACACACTGAGGAAGGCTTTGAGCCGAACGTTTGTGTCTTTTCCCATCAGAAATGAATGTAAAATAAAAGAAAAAAGAAGATTGTTCTCGTGAGTGCGGATCATAATTTCCTATAACAAATAAATGTAGCCATGGTGATCATTTACATTGTGAAATATTATGACAATTAAACAATATTATTTTTATTTTATTTAGAAAAATTTAATTTATTCCTGTCATGGCTGAAAGCTGAATTTTTGAGCATTCAGAAATGATATTTAAATTTGAAAATGAATTTTTATCAATGTTGAAAACTTTTTTTTTTTTTTTTTTTTTCATTTTTCAGGATTTATTGATGAATAGAAAGTTTACAATTAAAGCATTTATTTAAAATAGAAGTCTTTTGTAACATTCTAAATAGATTTCCTATCAGTTTTGATCAACTTAATGCATTGTTTTTAAAAATAAAATATTTATGTTTTATTTTCAAATGTAGAGCAACAGTCGGGACCCGCAGCGAACACCAATGCAGTGGGATGATAAGCTCAATGCTGGTTTTAGTGACAGTGAAAATGGCACATGGCTAGACATCGCTCCAGACTACAGCACTGTCAATGTGGAGGTACGTTGATTCAGAAAGCGTGTGTTAAAGCAGAGAAACCTCTAATCCCAGCTCATATTTTTCTCTCCAGCTTCAGCAGGCTGATACGCACTCCACCATTTCACAGTATCGTGCTCTGAGTTTGCTCAGAGGGGCTGAGTTGTCACTGTCCCGAGGCTGGTTCTGCTTCGTCTGGAGCGATGTCAACGTATTTGCTTATTTGCGTGAGCTGGATGGGCTCAACAAAGCCTTCCTGGTGGTTCTAAATTTCGGCAAGGATACTACAACAGACTTGTCTTCAGTTACTGAGTTGCCAGATATTCTTACTGTGCATTTAAGCACAGTGCCAATAAGTCAAAAGACTTTCTGTAAATCCAGAATTCCAACATCTCAAGGGCAAGGACTGCTCCTGGAATATTCCACCAATCAGCGCTTCCACCCCAACCATGCATCTGAGTGCTATATTTCTGAGAAAGCCTGCTACTTGCCTGCACTAGATATTTTGTACAAGTGTTGAAGATACTTTCTAGAAGACGTGTCTTGAGCGACACAGTGACAAACGATAAAGGCTATCTATTCCTTGTTTTATTTCGGTGATGTCATGCTGGCTAGTCCCGCCCACTTTGAAATCTCATTGGTCCAAAATCTCACTCCATATTATTGTGATAGTGTGTATCTTTTGTGTTCAGTGTGAACCGGCAAGTTGCCCGGCGTTTTTGTCAGATTAACTTTTATTCAAAAGGAACTAGCATCTGTGTAACAAAATAAACGTTTGGTTTATTAAGAAAAATCAGAAAAACTTTTTGTCTGGTTGTTTTTCACTCATACATCCACACATACAATATAGTTTCATGGTTTATGAGACTTGCCAGTCAGATTATTTGACTTTTCTTTTTGTCTCCGTCGAGTTTGTGGGTGGTCTAGTCCAAGTTCTGCGTAAAGAAAGGCTAACTGTCGGGCACTCTGTGAGAGAAAAAAAAATCACCCATGACATAAAGCTGTAAACATAAGCTGTTAGTCTCACTAACAGCATTCTAACAACAGTACAGTATAAGTTAATGTGTGACATCAAACTGTGAGAGAAGGAGATTGTTACAGGAAAAAAAGTATCTCTATAATGCTAAAATGCACTTTTACATGATCATAAAGTTTATATAATAACAACTTTAATGATTAATCCAAAGCTTTCTAACAGCCAGCATGCTGAAGTATTATGCTTTAATGTGTTAACGTAGGCAGCAGGTAATTTAACAATTCAGTCTGATATGAGTGTTTATTTACTGTACCTCATTTAAGGACAGATGAAAATCCTCAGGGCCAAAGTGATCCCCTCCTGGCTGCAGGTCCAGAATGACAGCTGGGACACGTGCTGCTGGTTGAACATGTCAGTTAAAGAGGCACAGGTGAACATGTACTGTATTTTTAAACTGAACATAGTTACATCAGTTCCCGATGCCTTTGTAGAAATGCAATCAGCCACAATGCATTTATTCAGCAAGCAAATTTTCGTCTTGTTGAACACAAAAGATGATATTTTGAAGAATACTGGTAACAAAACAGTTGTGGGTAGCCAATGACTTCTACAGTATGGGGGGAAAAATGCTATGGAAGTAATGTTACCAACATTTTTCAAAATATCTTTTTTTGGAATGAAATGAGGGTGAGTAAATTATGAAAGAAATGTAATTTCTAGGTGAACTATCCATAACAATGTTTTACATGTAATTATTATTGTTTACTAATATCTGGATTAAGAAATTTGATATGACTGGAGTCTTTAAGTGTATGTGATTTAAAAAAAATTTTTTAAGTATTAATTTCCTTGTGTGTAAAACAGTATTATTTTAGTATTATTGATATACTATTATAGTATTTATTATTTTAAATTAGCTTTTTAGCTTTAGTAATTTTGTGATCTTGTCATTTTCACTTTTTTTTTTTAACTTGTTTCTATTTACCTTCAGTTTATTTTTATTTCAATTTTAGTAATTCTAGTACTAATTTCAGTTAGTTCCCCAGGCAACATTACAAATTTTCGTTTAAATATTTTATCTAATATATTATTTCAGTTAACAAAAATTATTTGTAATAGTTTTAGTTAACAATAACAACACTGGTGTTTTTAATAAGGAAAAAAGTTACTAAAGCACCTTTAAATAAATGTAAGAAGCCAAAAATGGTTCTTGGGGAACCATGAATATGGTAGATAAATAAAGAAATTGAAGTACACTAGTTCATGTTTGTCATGAGGCTAAAGGCACGGAATATGTAAGACTAGACTGACAATATCCAAGCGTAATCCGGCACACTGGCTCTCCACCACAACACCTGGGCATCACATCCAGCACTTTAAAGTCAACGCTCTTGAAACAGAGTGGATGATGAGAGGCTGCCATGTAGGTGGACTTGGCCCACTCCTTTGCCTGGCTGCCTTATTTCCCCACAGTGATGGGATCTCTCTGAAGTGAAGCTGAGTGTAAAAATCATATGCCTAATCCTTAAAACTCTGTCATCTGCCTCTTATCTGCAGTGCGGCCGCCGGTGTCTCTCTCCATCCCGCTCCTTCTCTGGGCCGCATGTTTCACAAGCCTTCTCCTGACCTTGGCACAGCCCAGTGTATTGTTCCTTATCTCCTTGCCTGATAGACTATCTCATAAACATGTTAATCGTCTGAGCTGGCAGCGTGTGTGATCAGTGTTTTATCTCCCGGAGAGGAATGGGAGAGATTAGAGGAACTTTGGTTTTGTGCTTTGTGTATATGTGTAATAAAGATAATTAATGGCACACAAATAGAGAGGAATTCTGACGGAGGGGGTCCGGACTAAGATGTGCTGACAGCGTCTCGCACGGAGCAGCTTGCACACAAGGTGACATGGAGAGGAATCGCTCCACATCACCTGTTTCCAGATCAGTGCTCTTCTCTCCTGAGGAGAGAGTGTAAGTGCTTCTCTTAAACCCAGGGGTTTATTTGAGAGCTGGGATTACAGCCAGTGACCTCCAAGTTCATTTCCGTTATACTTCACTTGGTTTAGAAGTAGTTTTTAATACTGCAGCTGTAATGTTTTGATAATATCATTCACTTTGTGGGCTAATGAGATTATAGATACATGACCAAATACACCAATGTTAAATAAATATATTAAATAATATCTATTATTATATGAATACACATTATTATCATAAATGTGACCCTGGACCACAAAACCAGTCATAAGGGTCAATTTTTTGAAATTGAGATTTATACATAATCTGAAAGTGGAATAAATAAGCGTTTCCATTAATGTATGGTTTGTTAGGATTGGACAATATTTGGCTGAGATACAACTATTTGAAAATCTGGAATCTGAGGGTGCAAAAAAAAAAATGTGAGTAAATCGCCTTTACATTTGTCCAAATAAAGTTCTCAGCAATGCATATTACTAACCGAAAATTAAGTTTTGATATATTTACAGTAGGAAATTTACAAAATATCTTCATGGAAAGTGATCTTACTTGATATCCTTATGATTTTTGGCATAAAAGAAAAATCGATCATTTTGACCCATACAATGTATTGTTGTTGGCTATTGCTACAAATATACTCGTGCTACTTATGATTTGTTTTGTGGTCCAGGGTCACAAATACATTTACTTATTGAACATTATTGGCTTTTATCATATCGCTGTAGTGATGCACCACTCAAGGCTGTGATTTACAGTGATTTGTAATGGTCTACTTTGTGCCCAATAACACCTCCGTGCTAAAATGGCTTTATTTTATGTGCTAGGAGAATATGAGAAGTGCAAAGATGTTTAAAAAGGCCGACTAGAGCATATATACACTCACCGTTAACACCAACCCGAGTGATATACATTTGGATGGCCTTCTTTAGTCTTTCCACATACTTCATGACCCCAGATAAAGGAACTCTACGGTCCTCTGAGTATGCAGTGATCAGCATGGATGGGTAAAGCTATAAAAAAGAAAGAAGAAACAGTTATTAAATGACTCCTGAATGATGAGACACACACTGCACACTACTAATCTAAAGTTTGGGTAGGTAAGGTTTTTTAATAGTTTTGAAAAGTCTCTTACGTTCACCAAGACTGCATTTATTTGATCAAAAATTTGTGAAATATTATTACAACTTAAAATTGCTGTTTTCTATTTGAATATATTTTAAAATGTATTATATTCCTGTGATGGCAAAGCTGAATTTTCAGTATCATTACTCCAGTCTTCAGTGTCACATGATCCTTCAGAAATAATTCTAATATGCTGATTTGGCGCTCAAGAAACATTTCTTATTATTATCAATGTTGAAAACAGTTGTGCTGCTAAATATTGAAACCATGATGCATTTTTGTTTTCAGAATGTTGAATAGAAAGTTAAAATTAACTGCATTTACTTGAAACAGAAATCTTTTTTAACATTGTTAATGCCTTTACTGTCACTTCTGATTAATTTAATGCATCGTTGTAGAATAAACGTATTAATACATTAAAAAAAAAATCATACTGAGCCCAGACTTTTGAATGGTAGTGCGCATCTGAGTGATTTACCTGAGGTATAATGTTGTGACAGGGACAGTAAGAGGCAATGTTGTCCATGTGTTCTCTTATACGGGGGTCTCCCCACTCTCCTCCCTCCTCTACAGTAAGCGGCAGGGAAGGGTCTTGCATTGTGCCAAGAACATCCAGAAAAGGTGCCTGCAGAGAATTATAACTTCATATAACTAAGACAATAAGGCTCAGGGAATGTGTACTCGATGTACTAATAATCCACCTGTAGAATTACAGCTTTAAGAAGCTGTGGGTTATGGTTGCACAGCGCCCCCGCTAGGACCGCTCCAGCACTGCGAGCAGTGAGGGCAGTAAGAGCAGGATGAGACACTCCCAAGTGATGAAGAGTCTGAATGCAAGCAGCAAGATCTTCCACTCCCCTCCGCTTCTGTAGCACAGAACCCGCTCGATGCCACGCTAGACCACGCTCACCACCACCCCTGCCCCGTTACAAACAACACAAACACACAATAAAGATGCATGTATTAATACTCAAGGACTACAAATCCCAAGTATTTCAGCATTCACTACTGTTCACAATTTTGGGTCAGCAAGATTTTTTTCAAATACATGAATACTTTTATTCAGCAAAGATGCATTAGATTGATCAAAGGTAACAGAAAAGACATCTATAATGTTACAAAAAATAAATGCTTTTCTTCTGAACTTTCTATTCATCAAATAATCCTGACAAAATGTATCACGCTTCCACAAAAATATTAAGCAGCATATTAATAATAATAATAATAAGAAATAAGCACCAAATTAGCATATTAGAATGATTTCTGAAGGATCATGTGACACTGAAGACTGGAGTAATGATGCTGAAAATTAAGCTTTGCAATCACATAAATAATTACATTTTAAATTATATAAAAATAGACAGTTCTTAGTAGAATAAAATAGCAGTTCTTCTAAATTGTAATAATATTGCACAATACTTGTGTTTTTACTGTATTTTTGATCAAATAAATGCAGTCTTGGTGAGCATAAGAGATTCATTTCAACTATTAAAACAAGTCTTACTGACCCCAACTTTTTGAACATTAATGTACCTATGAAAAAACATGATTAGAGTTGTAGTCCAGTACCTGACATGGCAGTAGGCCAGAGCCCAGCCGTCCTCCAGCAGTAGTCTCTTCTCAGGACTGAAGGCCATATTGAGATCAACACCATAAACTCCATATACATGCAGGAGCAGTGGAGCCTTATGCAGCTCAGATAATGCTGGTATGTGGAGGAGAGTCAAAGGCACCATTGTACCATCCTAAAAACACAGCCATTGGGATGTTATGGCTTTTTAAAAGCACATGGGCTGCTTTTTGTACCAGTGTACATTTAAGACTTCTCACATATAAATGACTCATACCTGACTGGCTGCCTGCAGGCGTGTTGTGTTAAACTCAGTGAGGGACATGTACTTGGTGTTGTCCTCTGTTACGGAGAGCTTCTGTTCTCTGGAGGAATAGAGGTAGTGTACAGGTGGGTGCACTGGGGAGGACAGGAGGAAACCAAATGACCCTCTGTCCACAGTTCCAACACGCTGCGGTGATAAATCACAGGCCCAGTGAGGAAGCTAAGAACAAAACAGAAACATTGCTGAAACTGCGTGTTATTTTGGATCCCATCTTTGGACCATGGTCATAGACCTGGTTAGTAGAGTCTGAGACAGCCCAAGGTCCTTTTAATGCATCAGAGAGATTGGACATACAAGTTTAAGGTTAATACTTCATGGCACTTTCATTGTGAGAAATTATTATAAGCAACATTTAAACTTGATAACATATAAAATGGCCTCTAAGAAAAATAAATTATATCAGATAACTAACTAAAAGTACATGGGTGAAAGACGTTAAGATGTCCGCATTAAAAGAAATTTACAAAAGTGATTGTCCATAGAAAGCACATTAAATGTAAGCAAAGTGTCTACTTTTAAGGTTTCAAATACATTTTTGGAGAATAAAATGTTAAAATTTGGTTGAAATAATGTTACATTGTCATGTTTTGCTCGGAAAAACAAAAACAAAATTGCAATTAAATTAAACAGAAAACTTTTTAAATTTTTTGGGGAAAAACAACAATTTAAAGCAGTATTACACGTTTTTATGCTTAAACCCTTTTTCGTCTTTGACCCACATTTACACTTTATAGTATAGGTATCAAGGTTCAAAGATATTCTAGGTCTTTCAAATTATATGCTGTATGTCAACTTAATAAGGGGTTAATTTCAAAATAAATATTATTATACACTACCATTCAAAAATACAGGATTGGTAAGATTTTTAAAAATGTTTTTTGAAAGAAGTTTCTTGTGCTCACCAAGGCTGCATTTAGCTGATAAAAATACAGTAAAAATAATACTGTGAAATATTATAAAGTATAATAAGTTGTCTATTTTCATATAATATAAAATATAATTCCTGCTATTGGCAAAGCTCAATTTTCAGCTTTATTAAGCATCCAATCTTCAATGTCACATAATCTTTCAGAAATCATTCTAATATACTGATTTGGTGCTCAAGAAACATTTCTTATCATTATCAATGTTGAAAACAGTTGTGCTGCTTAATATTTTTCAAATTCTTTGATAAATAGAAATTTATTTAAAACAGAAATCTTTTGTAACATTATTACTGTCTTTACATTCACATTCAATCAATTTAATAACCCAAAATTTTGAATGGTAGTGTAGTGTAAATACAGTATACATCATTGCCATAAGAACAAATGTATCAATTAAAATGTCATATATCCAGTAAAACACACCTACAATCTAAATAAAACATGTCTCTTTAACTCAGCATAAACACACACTCTAGGCTGTTGTGTATGTGAATTTGTGATTCTTGTTCACACCTTGTGAGTGTTTAACTGATAGGGCTCTTGTGTGGAAAGAGTCTGGATCTGAAGTCGACACTGTGAATCTTTCACTGTGAACACACAGTGATCCTGAAGCAGCTCCATATCTTTAATGACTGTTCCTGGAACAGCACTGAACAATGGCACCCAGTGTGGCTTGGATGGAGAGGCTAAAGGTGCCCTAAGCAGCTGGAGATTAGAGAAAGAAAAAAATTACACACGGTTATAATTTAGTTCTGAACAATACTACTCAAGTCTGATACTGATACTCTTACCTGATACTCCTGGTTTGCTCCAGTGTTAGCCAGAATGAACAGGCAGTTGTCTGAGTGCTCCACGTGGTAAAGCAGTCCAGGCTGACGGGACTGGATGAGGGTGGGGAATGAGAGCGGAGTCTTGCTGTCAACAAACCACACCTCAGAGCTGATCTTACTGCTGCAGTTAATGGTCACCAGCCTCTGGTCTCTGGAACGACTGACCTCCACAAAGAACCTGAAGAACGGGCAGAAGAACACATCAATGCGGGCCAAAAGCACTCTTCACCAACAATTAGACACTTACTCTGGATCCTTTTCTTCATAGACAAGGGTGGTTTGGACACCAGAATCACTGCGATGAAGACGGAAAACGTGTAGGCACCGAAGAGTCTCCTGTGTGCTGTAGAAGAGGATGTCATCTGTGGCCCATTCTGCACAGAGAGAACATTTAAGGAGGAAAAGAAAGTTTTTTTGTCAAGAAAGTTTCAATTATAGTAGATCTTACCAAAGCTGAGCACATTGTCTAAAACCAGCAGGGCCTTTTGACGAAGGACGAGACCACCTAAATGAACCAACACACATCTGGTCTCCTCGTGGTGGTCTTTCTTTACAGTGACGGCCAGCATGGTCTCTGAGGGAGAGAGTCTGACCCTCTGGATGGTTCCATATCCACCTCCTCCCCAATCTGCATTGAACACCTCCAACATCTCCTGCTCATCTGTATGCAAACATTGCTTTGTTTCTAGTTGTGACTAAATAAAATGTGTTTACTGAAATGGTTTCTTTTTAATATCTGTTACCGTGTCCCAGGGTCGATCTGTAAATCCCTTTGCCATCTTCAAAGTATACATGATGCTGTCCCTGGAACTTGAGAAGATGTTGAGGGAATGAAGATTGATTTATAATTTCTATCAATTATGTATTACACACACTTTGCACCACCACAGTTGCTTACCTCAGAATTTTCTGGTACATCTGCAAACTTCCTATGAACCGAACGCAATCTTCTTTTGAAACGCTGCTCTTGATCTCGAAGTTTCTGTAGTTGGACTTTAAACAGCTCTGCTGTGGTCTGAGAGGATCCCTAAATCAGTGAGTTCCATATATATACACACACACACACACACATATATATATATATATATATATATATATAGTATTAATTACATATTATGTAATTAAATCCCTTGTATAGAGTCATATACATATTTCATATATATATTTCTAACTTTAATTTCTTGATATTGATTAATGTTGATTAATTTTTTTAAATCTTCGAATACATGCTTTAACATCTGTAACGTCATCTGACACTGTATAATGATGCAGATATGATCTATTTCCAATTTACATTCAGGTTCAGAGTCTGCTGCTAGTTTTGTCTTTTCCATTTCTGTATTTGCACTATTGTAAGTAACATATCTTTCATTGCAGTTTATTTAAAAATACATTGAACAACATGGAACATTAGAGTGTAGAGTGAGTATGAAGTCGATCCTACCTCAGTGTAAAGACGCGAGATAAGTGGATGTAAATTCCTCCGATGTATATTGCGTGAAACTGATCGCAGAAGCAGCAGACATGAGGAGGTGATCAGATTCATTTAATGCAGCAGGATGTAACTGTCTAATTAGTTTCTGATTATGAATGAGCGACGTATTACTGCTACCTTAAATGTCAAAATATACAGTGCATTATGATTCTGGGTAAATATCACATTCCAAATACTTAAACTTTCCTACTGCTCATGTGCTACTATGTAGAGCAGTGGTGCATTGACATTTACACTAGCGATGTCCGTTCTGTTGACTCGAATCTTTTAAACGAAGCGGTTGAATCGGTTCACAAAACCTGTCTGAAGGATTCATTTAGCAAACAGACTGAATCGGTCAAAACTGTTCTAGAATCAACGACTTGAACCGAAAACCGACTCTTTTGTACATGTTCGACTGAAAACGAACAAAGAGCAGATTAGTAAACTGAATTCGCTGATAAAAGTAAATTTTTTGTTGTTTAATATGAATGCAATTAATATTTAGGTTCTTCTTAATTGCTATTTTTTATGAGCTGAATGGCTGCAACAAACTCAGCTGGAACACCGCTATTACATAATATGCGCATTAATGTGGCTGTTTTCCAAAACTAATACGTCACGAAAAAGCTTTTTGAATCAATTATTTGAAACGAACTGTTCAAAAGAACCGACTCGCTGAAATGAGTCGGACTCCCTATCACTAATGGCGCTAAAATATGACATCTAGTCCAGACAAGAGTAGTCGAATCAATAATCATAGATGACAGCCGGTAGAGGCGAGTGTTCGATTACTCTGGTAGTGAATTTGATTTCCTTTCGTCCTGCAACAAGAGGAGGCGGTGTACGGAAGTAGCATGGGATTTTATTACCAAGCAACAGAGACCAGCGCATACCGGCGAATTGGTAAAAACGGTAGTAAATTCTACCATCGACTTTAACCACATTCAGAAAACAAATGTCAAATAAGCCTTCGCCCAGACTCTGCATTCCGTTGTCGTTATACTGTGAGAAGTTATTTTCTGCATGAAACGGGATCAAATCAAGCAGGTTGCTCTGTCATGAATACATTTAAAGATCCCCCGTTAGCTGCGACAGACATGCACGCGATCAATCACCAAAATCACGACTCTCACTGTGGAACCGATGTGGCCCGTGCACGCTGGGCTCTTCTGCGTCAGGTGAGGGGCGTTTAGTTAATCTCCTTCAATATGCAGCTGATTGCATGTGTTTGGTTAAATAAGCGTAACTGTAATGCGTTACATAATGCGTTTTTCACGGTAGACATATGGATGTGTCTCAGTAGTAGAATCTTATGCATTTCTCACAATGCAGGTTCTGAAACAGAAGCAGCTCGACAGTGCAGATGTTCAGCAGGTGTCTGTGCGAAGATTCTCCTCCTTTAACCTGTTCTCCAGGAGCAGGGTCACTCCCACAGAGACGGATGAGCCATCGGAAGGGCAGTGGGTGGAGTACAGAAGTGCAATCTTTCCTCAGTACAGTGCCTTACTCAGGTATGCTGGAGAAAGTGTTCAATTAACTAGAGCAGATGATGCAATTTAGCTTCAGGATTGTTAAGAACTTCCATTTTTAAGGCATAATTCTCACAAAAGTAAATTCTGTATGTTTTACCATCATGTTGTTACAAACCCATATGATATATTGTTTTTTTCTTCTTCTGTCAAACACAAAAGGTAAAGGTTTGAAGTATGTGTCACACTGCTTTTTTCCCATAAATTGAAAGTGAATGGGGACCAAGTGTTGTCAAACTCCAAAAAATATGAATAATAATAATAATAAAAAGCACCATAGAACCATACAAGTCTAAATGCAAATCATGCTCTGAAAATATTTCACAGAAATATTTCACTGAAAATAATCACAGCCATTCCCTTTCAGTATGGAATGGAAAAAAAGAGCAGTTTTGACATTCTGCGAATTCATATTTTTATTTATTGCAGAATGGGTGAATAAACTATGACAGAATTATCATTTTTTGGTTTAACTGCTTATTTAAGTCTTTTGCTTATGTCAGTATAATTAAACACATTAATCATATTTCATTTAGCTAGCACTAACGTTTAGTCATTATCTCATTGTATTTATAACTATATCAATTTAATTAATTCATTTCAGAGACAATCTTGGTCCCATTAGAGTGGATGAGGTGCTCAGCAGCTTTGACAACACGGGAAATGTCTGTGAGTATCCCTTCTATGCATGTCCGTGTGTTCTTACAACAGTTTAGTTTTTTTCTCTGAAACTGATCACATAGAGGTGATTGTGTTCTTTTAATGCAGTCTGCCTACTTTCTGATTATGAATGAACAATATTTCACTGTAATCTTAAACAGAGCATATGCTATGGCAGGCAGCAGGGGGTCAGATCAAGCTGCAGCTCCATCATGCACCAGAGGCAGGCACACTTGAGCTTTAGAAGCACCTAATTATAAGCAACTTATTGACTCCTGCTGTCTGTGCCAGGAGTATTGTACTTCTGAACAATTAAATATGCAGTGTACATTTCAGGGAAATTTAAGGCAAGTATTTAAGTTGGCCAAAATTATACTTTATAAGTGAATATAGGTGACTGAACAAAGTTGCAGAATCAACAGGTAGCAGATACAGTGAACTGATTTATTGTTTCCCATGAATGGTAATTCCTGTGTACTGTAAATATATTTATGCCATCTCTTTATATTAAATACTCTTTCATGATATACACTATTGTTCAAAAGTTTGGGGTAAGTAAGATGTTTGTTTAAAAAAAATAATACTATTATTCAGCAAGGATGGTGAAAGGTAAAAAGTGGCAGTAAAGACATTTCTAATGTTACAAATGCTGTTCTTTTGAACTTTCTATTCATCAAAGAATCCAGAATAAAATGTATCATAAATTCCACAAAAATATTAAGCAGCACTGTTTTTAACATTGATGATAAAAAAATGCATTAAATACCAAATCACAAGCATATTTAGAATGATTTCTGAAGGATCAAGTCAAGTGACACTGAAGACTGGAGTAACGGATACTAAAAATTTAGCTTTATCATCACAGAAGTAAATTACTTTTTGCAATTTATTAAATTAGAAAACATTTGAATGATTTTTCAAAATACAGTTTTTATTGTACTTTTGATTGAATAAATGCATCCTTGGTAAACATTTAAACAAAAAACGAAAACTTTTACAGACCCCACACTTTATACAGTATATACAACTTTAGATGTCTTTTGGTCCTGTACAGCAGAATATTAAGCAGCAATTTATCAAGACAATTTTGCAAAGACAAAACACAGTAACTACTATTTTGACCAAACTGAATTATGATGAAAATCCATTCTCTTAGGCCATGATCTATACTGTGACAGACTGGTTTGGCTCAACTATGCTCAGATTCAGAGAAAATAAGGAGTAAAACGTATATGAAACCAAAACAAAAATTGAAGCCATTTTCCTTAAGTTTAGCAATTATAATTACTGTGCTTTGCCGTTAAAGTGCAGTATTGAAGGGATAGTTCATCCAAAAATGTAAATTCTGCTATAATTTATTCACCCAAGTTGTTCCAAACCTGTATGACTTTCATTGTTCTGTTGAGCACAAAAGGAGCTTTAGGTAGATAAACCAGTGGCTCAGAAACTTTTATGCAGTTGATCTGTTTTAGTAAAGGAACGAGACTGGTCCTATGAAGGTTTCCAGTGGCTTGTAGACTGATATGTCTTGAAATATTTGGCTCTTTTACTGGATTAGTGAAAAGGGGCAGCATGGCTCTCCTCTACGGCAGGGTCATCATCACTTCTCTTTTCAGACCTTCCTCTCAACCACCCTTAATTGATCTTACGCATTGGTAAGCCCCAACATCTCCCCCTATGTCCTTGTCAGCTCAGCTGGGCAAGCACATTGTCTGCAAACGGGGGTGCCCCATGTATTACCCACCCCACATACCCAGTTTAAAATCCTCGTCTGAGGATTTGACAAGCCAAAAGGTCTCTATGTCCTCTGAGGCACTGAATGTGAATTAGCTATCCAGATGTATGGATTACGGTGATCCAACTTGTCAGGGTTGGAAGGGTTGACGGTGCTGTGGGTTTAAGTGCTGTTGTTTCCAGCAGGGATCAAGAGGGACACAAAAGGTCTTATCTGAACATGCTGGGTGGACATGAAGAGCTTTAGAGAGGCTTGTTGACCACTGGTTTGGATTCAAACATCAGCTCTTCCACTGTCATGTGCTTGGGTCAGAGTTGGTTAAAAACTGTAGAGGAAGTGTAGTTGTAGTATACATGGTCTGGAATAGTGATACTGATTTTCGAGGAGCTCTTTGCAGCCAGATGATGTAGTTACCGCATCTACCAGCAGGTGCGAATGAGACAATAGGTGCTTTCACACAAAAAGTATTTTCCAGAAAATTACTTGTAAATTGCTATTTAGAGATCATGTGTGAACAAAGCGTGAGATTACCAGTATAAGCATGCAAGAAATCTGCTTTGGAACAGTCTTTAAGTTTGTGATTTCTCCACAGGGTTTACAGTAAACTCTGGTGCTTTTTAACAGTTTTTCTTTGAAAATGTTATATATGGCTAGGCATCATTGATTATTGCTTCGGCTTTGCAGTTTGCCCCTGCATCACCAAAGAAGTCAAAAAATGTTGTCAAATTGGACGGATAGTGAAAATAAAGTGGCTCTTCTTTAACAATTACTGGTATTTTGGTGCTGATGTGTGAATGTAACAACAAAAAACTATATACACTGTTACTTGAGCTGATACATTTACTGTAAAAAGAAATCAATTGGCAAATATGTGAAAGCGGCCTTTATTATCCAGCCAAAACTTTGCCGTTTAACTCCTACTCATTTGCAAGGTTGGATTGCAATTGTTGACTAAGCATCAAACAACCGACTGGTTGATTAGTGAGGTAAGCTAGTTAAAGGTGCAATAGGTGATTGTCTTCAGAATTTTTTTTTTGTTATGCTGGTTGAAAGTCTCTTCACATCCCGATAGCAATCATTAAGTTAAGTGGTCTAAATGTATTTATCTGTATTTATATATTCTGTGGAAGGCGTAGGACCAAGAAATGTTCGTCCAATCAAAACGCTCGGTCCGAGCATTTTAATTGGCTTTCCTACCTGCCTGTCAACATATGTATTAGCATACCTCTGCGCACCCACAGTGTTCATTGCTCCCTACTCTCTGAGCAGGGGAAATCCGTTGAAGTTTACTTCACTTCAGAACATTCATTCACGGATTTGCGCTGCACAGCGTCTTCACACACATCACACTCACACACACACACACACGTCTTCACATCCAGTGCGAGGACTGGAATTGGGAACCGCTGATGTAGCCTATTGTAGTAATGTTGTCTCTGGTATTCTGGTCTGTGAGCGTATATGCGTTCAGGGGGCGTGGCTTTGGACAGCGATTGCAGGGAGGGTGGGACGTTTGCTTTCAGTGCTATCAGGTTAAAGTTTGCATTTTCCAAGATCTCCTACTGCACCTTTAACACTTATTTTTCACAAAATACTACCTCAAAATGCAAGCCTCATTGGGTATTGGTAGGATACTCTCAGCCAGTCTAGTCAGGGTCTTTATCCTGCGTCCTGAGTTAAAACATTCTTCAGAGGGGTCACATGATGAGGTGGAGGAACTGATCCCCACTGAAATCACCACATTCAGGCTTAACCGGTCAGTGCTCCGTCTCAGCTGGGTTTCCTCAGAATCCATGCATTTATCACGAATCCATGTGTGATGGTGACTTTTTCATAGCTTAATAAGTGTTATTAGTGTGTGTGTGTCTTTTCATTTGAATCATGTGTTTGTTTGTGTGTGTCCAATGGTCTCCACTCACATGCCCGTCTGTTCTACCCCCTGCTTGGGCAATTATGTAGATTGGGGGACCCGGTGTACTAATTGCTCAGATTGTGGCTGTCCAATGAGGCCTGGTTAGACCTGCAGAGGTCAGAGGTCTGGCTCTCCATCTCTGCCTTGTTCTGCTCTCCTGTGTCGGTGAGAGTTAATTAACGCTGCTCTCAGACTGTTTACAGGACGGCTTGCTGACCAGACTCAAGCCCTCATTACTGCAGAACGGCCTGTTGAACGTGTGCAAGCAGAGTCCAAAATTAACACTCACCAAACACCAAATGCCAGTCAGAACTGTCTTTTGTGAATAAATAAAACAGTTTCTCGCCAATTTGCTAAATACTTTATTAGGAACTACCTCATTATTGTAAGCAACGTGAACAATTGAAATCAGTCAAATTGAATATATAATTATCCACCATTTCACTTTGTCACTTTCTATGTGACTTTATTTTCATAGTATTATGACTTTAATCTCATAGTACCATTCATTATTCTCATAATTTGGATTAAAATGTTACATCTTTTGGAAAAAAGTTTAAACTGTAGGATTGTATTCTCATACAAGGTCTGTTGAGATTAGTTTTTCCTATCTCAATTATACTATATTATTATACTACACTGGAAAAAAATGATTAATTGAATTTACTACATTTTTTTAAGGTACGTGGTTGCAATCAATTTTTTTTTTCTTTTTTTTTTACTGCTCCTGGAGATTTTTTACAGTTTATTTTTCTACATTTAAATAAACAAATTTAGTTGACTAACTCAACATTATTTTTTAAAAATGCAGCTAAAATAAATAGTTTGCAATCACTTAAAAAAAATTTGTATTTTTTTTTTTTCAGCTGTATTATACATTTTTAGTTACATTATGTGACACTACAATTTGACTGGTAAATATTCTCAATTTATACAAAGTTAATTTTGAACAATTTGAACACAAAGCTCATCATAGACCGTGAAAGTGTCTTCTATCAGTGCCACTGGTGAAAAGGCCAAGAACTGCTTTCATGATAAAGCCACCTACAGGAAATATTGTCTGCGTTTGAGTGACCCAAAACTGACCGGGACTCTGTGCTGAATGATAAATGACTGACCCAGATTAAAGTCATTATGTGAAGCATTATTATAAAACATAATGTTCTTTTTCTGGCTATGTGCAAGATGGCATTATAAAAGGATTTGCTCCTCAATATAAGCATTAGTATAAAAGCAAATGTTCTTAATCATGGCTACAGGGTCAGCAGTGGGGCGAGCGGTATCAGAGCTAAGAGACGTGATAAAGGGAACCCTGAAGGAAAGAAATTACAATACTAGCCTTTGCAGGGATATTGTGCGGGGTGTAATGCCACAGTAATTACC